GCGCCTCGCACATGGGTTCCCCTTAGGCAGCGTTCCACAACAATGCGCGTTGCTGCGCTGTATAGCACGCTGAGTCTGAACGCTGCCTTGCTGCCCAGATAAAGGGTAATTTTTGAGGCTGAGGAGCAGTTCGAGGCATGAGTGGTGAAAACAGTGAAAAAGTCAAGAGGAAAGGTAGAATCGGTAATGTTGCGAAACACCAAAAAGCTTACATTCATGGCAATCATGAAGTTGTTCACCAATTTGACGACCTCATAAGGTATACCGTATGGTGTTACATAAGCAGCAATCCGAGGGGTTACTGGGTCTTCGAAATAAGAAATCGGCTTTCCGGATGATTCCACCTTGGTGGTTATATATTGCGCCTGAAAAACTCACACATTGAATTAAGTGTTCGTGAGAACTGATTTCTATCCGAGGTTAAGGATGAACACTACCCATCGAGCGCCCAATCAATCCTAGCCATTCCGATGACATGATCGGGACAGTTTCTGGCGAAAGAGACTCACTATAGCATCCATATAAAAATGATGGGACATATGTAGCACCGGCTATTTATAACTCGCTGAACGGTATGAACGGCAAAAGGTCACCTTTTGGACCGCGCGATCGCGAAGTCTGAACGCGGTCTTGTTGGTGGGCACTCACCTTGGTTGCTCATTTCATTAGGAAATTTCAAGCTATGGTGTTCTGGTGTATTATGCTCGCGAGCAAGTGATGCTTTTGTACAAAATCCGCCCTTACAGAGTGGTATTAGAACAAATGGAATGGCGTCTGCAGTGATCACACGATCTGGGCCCCACAAACAGTGCCTACACTAAAATATCATAACTAGATGAGGATTTGTCCAGATCCACAGGAACTCATGAGAACGCGTTCAGACTTCGCCATCGTATCGCTCGAGGATTTAATCGCGCGCCTACGACCGGGGCGCTCCATCGCCAAACGGTGGAACGCCGCGACGACGCCTTTCGAATCGGCACTGTGTGAACGCCACCCTATTTGAATTCTGCAGTGCACCGCTTGACGGTCAATCGCTCCGGTCGCGGTAGCGATTCAGTCGAGAGATCCAGTCGAGTGAACGCTCGAGTAATCCAATCGCGAAGTCGAACGCGGTCTACGAGTTCTTTACGCTACTTACTACTAGAAAATCTACGATGATCATCGTACATGGCTAGAAAAAAAAAGGGCGATCAAAACTGAATAACCTGTCCTGGGAGACAAAAAAGTTGAGTTCGTTAAATCATGAACTTAATAGAGCTCACCGCTGCAGCAAAATGTCGATGACAAATATTCTTTCTGCTTGCATTACAGTTGTCGTAAAGATCTTCCACACTTGTCTTCATGTAACATCTACACGCTGACAAACACGCTACAAGAATCGCGTTCTGCACTTTCAGTGACGAAGATACCCTGAATCCTTCTTCGGTGTGCGGAGTTCCACATACGATGCAGCACGACTTCCTTTCGACATCCACAAAATGCCTAAAATCCTCAGTTTTGTAGGAATTGGTTGCACTGAATTTGAAAAATTAGTTATACTCAATGGGTGTGCGATGCCAGGTCTCACATGACGCTGGCATCCTTGAAAGTACGGTGTCTGCATCAGCAAGCAACCCGATAGTCACCGCTTTAGTCTCCTCCGCTTCCAGTCAAAGCCGCTTACCGCTCTGCGCTCCTATGAGGCAGCGTTCAGACTTCGCGACGGCAGCGCTTCGGTCGCGCGATTCGACGATCGATGCGCATGCTTTCGACTGCATCGATCGCGTGAACGCGCGACCGAAGCGCTGCCGTCGCGAAGTCTGAACGCTGCCTAAGCTTCCACGCTCAGTGAATATACAACATAGTCGAGACATCGCACGCAGAAAGGGACCATTGCGGAGTAACTTCGGTGTTGGTTGCAGGGGGGGGGTGGTAAAGTCGGTTAAGTTCATGTCCTTTGTGCGGCTGCATTTGTAACGTCGCTTACATCGTCGTCTCTGACTACCTTTTCCTCGTTGCCTCATCACCTCGGACGACGTCCTCAAGAGTATGACCTTACCTCTTACGGGGGTCAAGTTGACCAACGGGAAGGAAGGCGGCTTTCTCCTCGATTTGACCGCTACCGTAAGACGTGATCACCTTGCTCTTTTACTCCTGCCATATGGATTAACAACCATCGAACCAACTTCCACTACTTACAAGTCCCGACGGAAAAAGTTTCAAGCTACCTG